TGTTTTGTGGGAATTAAAATTAGATTTTTAGTAAATGTTGATAAAAGTTGATGAAATGTGTGGTTGAAAAATTGTGGGTCCCATGAAATATGTAGTTATAATTAATTGTTGATTTTGATTTAAATTAAAATCTAGATTTTAATCCGTTCCAAACCTCACCTTATCATAATGCTAAAAAAACTCTAATTCCACGAAGGAATGAGTTATGCATGCCTACTATTTAATTTGGATGAAATCACTCTTCCGCATAATGGAAGACCCAAGCAGACAACAACTTGGAATATTCATGATCTTCTGAATTGCAGTCTCGTCAGTACCCTTCCTCGAACACAGCAAGGTTCCTATTTCCAAACCTCTCCAGATAGAATATGTTGGCTGATTCAAGTGACGATTTTGAAATTAATTGGATTCTGTGAAAATGATGGTAGTTTCTGAGGATGCAGAAGCGTTTGATGTTTAATCAACCCCTCCCATCCTTAAGCCACAAAATTCAGATTGTAAAGAGGCCTGTTAATCCAGCCTTGTTTCTCTAACAATTTACCCATTATTGACTGCCAAAAAGGACATGGGCAAATAGAAGAAGCTAAGAGTCACTTGTTGCATTAGGAAAAATCATAGAGCCTATTGAGAAGCACTCTTAAGGAATATGATGTTGGATCATTTCATAAAAGTTTTATGAGATCTGAATGACTTCCACTGTAGGAAGCTACCGATCCAACCTTCATTACTTTCTTCACACATTCATTTCTTTAGGGTCATAAAATTTAGTCTTCGTCTCCATAGGTTGAACTGATATATGTAAGAATACCAAGTTGACAAGGCTTGTTTGCAATTTCACGTCTCTACATAATATTCAATATGAATCACATTAAACAAAGGCTCAAACTACAATAGGGTACTGATTGCACAACACATTTTCTGGCGAACCATTTCGTAATATTTGAATAACTTCTCCAATGCATGGTCTAATGCAATGTTAGTGTTGGGAATTTACTTAACATGCACAGCGGAAAATAAATCCAATTTCAATTCCCACCAAGGATCTGCATTGTATTTAGATAAAAACTGTAATAAGAATTATACATTTGATGAATTCCACAAACTCTTTTTCTTTTCTTGAACTCGAATGATCACGATCTGCAATCCAAACTGTCCAACTGTCCAGCTCTCAATGGTGATTCACATAGATAACAAGAATGACGACTAAGGTTTTCTTTTCTTGTGCTAACAAGAATAATGAATTATCACATAGAGTTTTCAAACCCTAGCAGCCCATTAATATAAATTCAAGCGGGCTTGGTCCGTCTCTTAAACTTAGCTCGATCCAATATTTAATTAATCAAATTAATTAAATCTGGTCAATGAATCAATTAATCAAATTAATTAATTCGGATCTATTAATAAGCAACTCAATTAATTAATTGGTAAATCTCATTTTTCTAGTTCTCTTTTGTGTGTGACCCATTAGATTCCCAATCGCGATGTCTAACAACGTGAATTATCATTTTGATTTAATCAAAATCGATAAATTAAAACACCCTTTTTACTTTATCATTAATTCACATTCGTCGTCTCATATTGATATCTAACAATGTGTCGCGCAATACATGTGACGGGAAATGTCACAAAACCAAACTTGTTCGTTTACCGTGAAACTATAATCCTTTCGTCAATTTGATCTGATTAATTGTGATATATGGATATGTATCAATCTCCATTATCGATTTATCTTTTATCCCACTGTTAAGTCAATGTAAATTGAAAACTCATTTTCAACTTATGAGTTCATCTTGGCCAAGAATTTCATTATCAACTTAATTGGATAAAATGTAGATCATAATCTCGTACTATCTAAGAGTGACGAATCCTCTATTGATCATTCACGACCTTCATATGATTTTTGACTTACCCGAACGATGTTGTATTAGCAACCCTTAGCAAAGCAACATCCAATATCATCAAACTATGACTATCCTCATATAAGGCACTATGATGATCTCAAATCAAACGACCAATTCCACTACCGAATGTTAGAGATTAACCACCGACACTCAAATAGTTATCCATGTGAAATCTCTCAGCGGGTCTCCAATGTTTTGTTCTATAACAAAACATACACGTGTTCATTCAAATGTCACCACACTTTAATTTGTGAGTTCAACTACTTACTTCACAAGTAAGAAATGTCACACGTAATGGTATCCGTAATAACGATATTTGTATCTCGTTATTACATACAACCACAGAAGATTTAAGATTCAGTCATATATAATTTATATCTCACAATCACAACTCCTCGTGATTAACAAATCACTA